GAAGGAATCCTGTGTAGGACTCTGGAGCTGTCTGTGCACTTTTTTCCCCCTCCAGTATCATGTCCTGCAAACTTCCTGATATACTCTGAGCAAACCCTGTGTCCTCAGCTGAGGGAGGTCACTTGACTTTTCCCAGGGTGGCCCTCCCAGCACTGCAACCTGGAAGCAGCCAGTGCCTTCTTAGGGCTTGCTGTGTTCGATCCTCTTTTCACTGGACCTCATATTGTCCCTGGCTTTCTAGTTTTTGTCTGGGTTATTATTATTATTATTATTATTATTATTATTATTATTGCTATGGCAGGCAGGTAAAATCAGTTACTGTTACTTGATCATGACTGGAAATGGGAGTCGAATCCCTGGTTTGCTGCAGCCTGTAAGAGTGCCCACAGCATTCCCGTGAGCCGCTTTGGGCCTGCCTTCCTCAGCTCTGAGCTGGCCAGAGGGAAGTGGCAGACAGTGGGTCCTGATTCCTGACTGTCCACCCTGCCTTCCAGGGGCAGTGGTCTGGCTGAACAGGAGTGGGCTGGTGGACAGGGAAGGTGAACGAAGCTGCCGTTTGCTGGGGGCCTGTGCCGGTCCACCTGTGTTAATGCACTCCTCGCCAGTGACCTTGCACAGGGGACTGTTACTTTCCCCAGCAGGAGACTAACACACTTGCCCAGCATTTTCAGCTTTCTAGTAGGAGTGCATTGGAAGTAGACATGACAGACTTTCCCACTGCCTGCACAGCCCAGGTGGGGAAGTGACCTGTCTGCAGCTATCCCCTGTGTTGTGCCCATGTCAAAGCTCCCCTTTGGTGTGTCTCTCCTCTGCTTTCAGGGACATTTGCAGAGAGACCACAGGTGGCTTTCTGAGCACATCCAAGAATGCCTGTGCTCTGGGAGGGTGAGGCAGGTGAGGCCATTACAGGGGGCTTGTCACATGCAGGTAGGAAACCTTCCTACCTAACACCATCTGTTTCAGGGTCCAGGTCTTGGGGAAGACTACCTTCCTGTGGCCTCTCCAGAATGCATGAGTGTTACGTGCTGCAGCCAGATGAGCAGGGTAATGACAGAGAGGAGCTGAGCTGGTAGAAGAGCTTGACTTGGGAGGGATAGGAGTTGTCCAGATAGAGGCAAACTTGGTAATTGGCCTTCAGGGTGGCAGTCTGCGTGGGAAGCTGGTGGGTCAAAGCACGCCCTTTGGGGAGAGGGACTGCAGGGCCTGGGCTCCCTGGAAGAGGCTGGGTCACACACCAGCACTTTTCCAGTATGTTCAGCCAGCCCGTCTCAGCCCGCCCCTCCTCCCAGGCACTGCCAAGGCCTGTCCCACCCACTTGCCCTGTGAGGGCACTTTTGATTCATACAGTGGAGTCTGGTCACAGGGAGGCTAGAAAACCCGGTTGTGGGTGCTGGGAGGTGCAGGCTGGTGTTGACACCTGGCAGGGCAAGAACCTGTGGGGGGGGAGGTGGTATGGCCACCTGCACAGCCTCTCACAGGCCTGTGGGCGCAGCGAGATGCCCCAACCAGCCCAGATAGGCTGTGCTGGGCTCTGGGCAGGGCACCTGGGCACGGGGATGGGTCCTTTTGGTATGGACATCAGTGAAGAAAGGTCTTGAACACTTTGTCCACTACCCCATTGTACCAATGAGGAAACTGAGGCCCAGAAAGGGGGCACAGCTCACTCACAGTCCAGACTAGAACTCAGTACCAGCCTGAGCCTGCTCTGTGTTTGTTGGGGATAGCATTGAGGCTGGGGCTGAGGGAAGTGCCTGGTCCCTGCTCTATAGGGGCCAGCTCTGTGGTGTTCAAACAAGATAGACCCGAGTAGTGGGACGGACCCAGGCTCTTACTTGGGAGAGGCTGTCACTGGTGCTTTCCCTGATCCTGCAGTTGCTCCTGGGCTGAGCCACTCTGTCTGGTTCTCAGTTGCTGAAAGCTCCCTGTGACCTGCCCTAGGCTGAGCTCTTGCTGGACTGTGTTTTGGATGAGCTCACAGGGTCATGAGTTTGGCCGGGCTGTCCAGACAGGTATTAGGCAAGACAGTGAATGTATCCATGCCTCAGTTTCCTCATACATAAAGTGAGGAAAAGCACCACTGCTTGTAGACCAAAGCCGGTCGAGGTTGTCAAGCTGAGCCGTGGAACTGCACATGTTGAGGGTTGCTGCGTGGGCCTGGTTCTAGCCTTTAACACTGACTCTGGTCAGCTGTCCTGTCTACAAAATGGGGAGGGCATGGCAGGTTCAAGGGCCTCTAGGAGACCTCTGTGGCGTCACTATGACAGGCCAGGCTGTGGGAGGTAGTGGGGTACCTGGTACCCCCGTCATAGCAGCATTCCAGATCCAAGCAGTACCCCCTGTGCCCTGCATCAGCTAATGTCCGGCACAAGCCCTCAGCTGACCAACCCAACACTAAGCCCGGTACCTGGGGAAGCAGCATTCAGCACAGGGTCCCCTGGGGTTCCCCTAGAGGGGAGAGGCACCACCCTGACAGCAGGCAGTCCCTGGATCAGGCACCCTGGCTGGGAGGGCGATGTGGGGAACAGAACACATGGTGCCTCTCCTGCCAGAACATGTCCTGTAGCCCAAGCCCAAGGCAAGTTCCTGTCTGCCATGGCACCCCAGACCTGAACCACCCCTGACCGATCTGGGGGTGTAGAGGGGTGCAGGCATGCATCTGGGATGAAGCTTGCTAGCTATGTCTTGATGAGGCCCTTTTCCAGGACAGCATGCAAGACTGTTTGCCTGCTTAGGAGTGGCTCATCCAAGGGGGTCATGGGTGGAGTGGCTTGGGAGTGGTGGGGTCCCTGGCAAGGAGTTACACTACTACAAGATAGTAGTAACTACCCTGTTCCCAAACCCAATCTCATCATCCTTAGCTGGTGGTGAACTCCAAGGTCATTGGGAGCCCACCTAGCTGACATTGTTTCTTGTGTCCTTACACTCACCTCCTCCCTCGTCTCTGGCTTTTCCTAGAATACCTCCTGACTTGGGAAGCTCACTCTGTGTTTGGTCAGCTCTTGAGAACAGAAGGCACTTCCTCATCTGGCACTGACTTTTCTTCCATTTAGCTTACTTCTGTTCATCCCAGACCCTGTCCCGATTGATCCTCTGCCCCTGACAGCCTTGCAGAGGCCCAGAGACAGTGAGCTACTACCCCAGGGGATAGAGGGTACCCTAGGCCTTGGCATCTGCAGAGTCCTGGCAGATTCCACCCTCTGGGAGGACCAGCACCTGCCAAGCCCTCTGAGCATATGTGCCAAGGGAAGGAGTGGGGACCAGCCCTGGCCTGAATTGGGGGTGGGTTCAGGATGTGCCCTAACTTGCTTTGTGCCCTCCAGCCAGACTAATGACCTCACTGAATCTCAGTTTATCCAGCTGCATGCTGAGATCTCACTTCTGTGGAGCTTGCAAGAGACTAGGGGAGTGAGGATGGAGGCTACTGACCTGAGAACTCCCTTTGAGGCTAGTGGTGGGAAAACAGTAGCACCTGAGTGCCTGTGAGGTGCTCCTCAGGGGTCTTTTCACTTGCTGCTTATCTCTGTTGCCTGGTTTTTGCAAGAGATGGGGCTGGTATTGATGCGAAAACAGCCCTTGGAGGTCAAGGGTCTTCCTCAGGGTCTTCACACAGCAAGTTCAAGGCAGGCCAGGTGTGGAACCTTCCCCTTGCAGGAATTTGGGTATTGGTGCCAGATGAGCACTGGGTGTCAGCAGTGGCCTGAGGCCAGGGAGGAGTCCCAGTGGGCCTGCAGGGGCCAGCCTGGTGATCTCACTTTGTAATGTGCAGACACGTCCATAGCAGGCTCCAGGTTGCCTCCTGTCACCCATGTATATGGATCCTAGGGAAAGGAGCCTACCGGGCCACCCTCACAGTGAGGTTCAGTGAGCTTGGACTCTTTGCAGGCCTGGGTAGATGCCAGTCCAACTCTGTCCCCAGCTTTCTGTGTGGCCTAGGACTCTTCCTGTTATCTCTGTTTAAGGGTCCCTGGGAAGTTGTCATCCCCGGGGCAATGGGCCACCCTTGGGGGAGCCCCTCTAGTGAGTGGAGATCTGGCTGACTCTAGCATTGGGTAGCTATGACAGGAGCCCATCATGGTCTGACTGCTCTCCTGTGCCACCTGGGGGCCAGGGAGGGGAGAGGAAATGGGCAGAGACCAAAGACCATGGGCCTGACCTACTCCTCTCTGCTTCCCCTGCCTTGTGCCCTGAGGACTCTCAGGTGAACACTTGGGTTTGGCCAGGCTGGGGGGTGGGAGTGGTGGTAGATGCACTTTGGCCTCAGGGGCCCCATCCTGAGCCAGGTCCAGGAGAGTGGAGATCACCTGTGGTGGGGACAGATGTTGTCAAGTGAGAGGAAGAGCACACATGCTGGTTTGGGCTTTGTCTAGGCTACACAGGAATAGTGGTAACAAAGGAGGCCTGCCCTCGGGAGGCCCCAGTGAGTGCTGCTGACACATTTGGGTTGTCTCTATGTGACCTGCCTTGCCTTGGGAACGGACCAACACAGGGCCCCTGGGGAAGGCCCTCCTGAATGCTCATGGGGGCAGGTGACAGCGAATCCAGGGGAGGAAGGAGGTGCTCTGGGGCAGCTGTGACACCTGCAGGGACCTGCACAGAGACCCTCCTTGACCCCTGACCTTTGCAGACCCTCTGTGGACCCTGTGCCCTGTGGTGGCCTGCTCTTCTCTCTTTGCCTGCTCCTCACTGCGTGTCCACTTAGCTCTGAGTTCTGTGGCCTGTGGTACAGAAATAGTGGGCACTGTGCAGGCGTGTTCCATCATGCTGCCTGGAGAGTCCAAGACTGTGTGCCCTGATGTCAAATCCTTGTTCAGAGAGGCCCCAGCCTGTCACTCCACTGCCATGGCCCGAAGCTGCTGGAGGCGGGGCTGACATGGGCACTCCAAAACAAGTGTGATGTGGCGGGGGGTGGGGGTGGTGGTGGAAGTGGGGGTGGTGCAGGGTGCATCCTCCTATGATGCCCTGTCAATCTGCTGCATCTGACAGTCTGTTTCTGTCCCCAGGTGATAGCTGTGGTCATGGACATGTTCACTGATGTGGACATCTTCAAGGACCTGCTAGATGCTGGCTTCAAGAGGAAGGTGGCTGTGTACATCATTGTGGATGAGAGTAACGTCAAGTACTTCCTGCACATGTGTGAGCGGGCCCACATGCACCAGGGACACCTCAAGGTGAGCCAGCTCCCGCCTGCCTGGACAGCTGCAGGGCAGGGCTCATTCAGTTAGTCCACAAGCAGTTTGAGTACCTGCTGATTGTGGATAGTCTGTCCCCAGCACCAAGAGTTCAGTGATCCCAGAGCTGTAGGCCAAGCAATCCCAGGGCTTGAATGTCCTGAGGGATGGGATACTCACTGCCTCCAACTGGGAGATAAGATAAGCACTGATTAAGTGCTTGAGGACCTGGTGCTAGAGCTCAGGCCAGGTACTGTGTCACATTTTGTTTCAAAGTAGCTCATGCCCCAGTGGCTACTCATATACCTCCAATGCGGGGTGTGCGTGCAGCTCCTCCTCAGACAGCTCATGCCTTAGCTGGAGAGCTCCGACTCCCAGAAGGTCCATTCTTAGGTTCCACACAAATCTGTCTCCAGGTTAATGTCCACTCCCTGGTATCAGCAGCTGACTCAGACAGAAGAAGCTCCCGCAGGCCAAGGGCAGAGTTGAAGTGGATTGGAGGTGTGTGAGCAGGGTAGAACAGACCTTGGGGATGGGAAGACACTGGGAACAGAGGTGCAGAGGAGAAGACTCCCGCAGGGTTCTCAGCACTGCTTTGCTGTGTCTCCTTGAGCTTGCTGCCTCCCTCTCTGGGTTTCAGGATTTCACTGGCTTAGAGGAAGAGCAAATGAACCTGTGTGCTGGTCCCCTCCATTCAGACATCCAGCCACTGCTGAGCACCTGCTGTGTGCCGCATGTTTCCCTGAGGGCAGATCAGTCTGCCTCCATAGCAGGCCATGTGCGTCTGGTCCCATTGAGGCACTCCTATGGGTTGACATAGTTGATCCTCACAGTGAGCTAGTGAGAGGGGGCTGTCCTTCCTATTTTGGAGATGAAGAAGTGGGTGCCTGTCCAGGAGTCTCCAGTGGGAACCAGCCCCCACATGCTCAGGCTTAGTTCCAACCTCTGGTGGGTCTGAATCCCAGAAGGGGCAGCATAGGCTGGTTAAGGAGGGGCCGAGCTCTAAACCTGTAATTTGTAGCCATTTGTTAATGCCCCCACTCCCCAGCTGAGTCCTTTTAAGTGGGTGTGAGCTCTCTGCAGTGAGTCTCTAATTTCAGGGACATTTTCATGTGGTCTTCCTGGTAGGCCGCCCCTGAGACCATTGCCCGCTCACCATGTAATTAGCACTGGGAATGAACTCTGGTGGCAGACAGCTCACATCACAGAGAGCTTCAGCGTGTGAAGGTGACTCTCAGAAAGTGATTGCAGAGCCCCCACTGCCTGTGTGCTTGCCGTACCCCAGCAGGTGCTTCCTGTGTCCCACTGTCCCTCCACAGTGAGATGCAGAGGCAAGGGCAGAGCCCCAGGTGCTGAGGGGTCCTAATCCAGGGCCCCGAACCCATCTCAGCAGAGAAGCCCTGGGTGTCCCTATGCCCGAGCTCCCAGAAAGTGGAAGGTAGTGGCCAGGGCAGGGTCTCTGCCAGTGGCTACTTTCAGGCCTGGTGAGCCTGAGCCAGAAAAGCCCTATGGTCATCTGAAGTAATTTCTCTCAGGACACGTGGGGAAACTGAGGCACGAGGGAGGCCCAGACTTGGTCTGCATTTTTCTAAGTCAGGGCTAGAGCCTAAAAATCTAGGAGCGAGCAGTGGGCTCTCGCAAGAAGGGTAACTCAGGAGACCCTGGTGCTGCTCAGGGTCTTCCTAATTCACGGTGGGACTTCTATACATGGGTCTCCTCACCCTGTGGCTGGCTCACCCCCATGCTTTTAGGTGAGACAAAAAGGCTGCCCACTGAGCACAGCTGCCCATCTGCTGGCTGTAAAGCAGGGACCTCAGGCCTGCCTGCCTTCCTTCCTTCCTTCCTTCCTGATCACTGGCCCAGCAGTTGGCGCGTGACCATTAGGCACAGAGAGAGCAGCTGACGCTGTGGTTCTGCTTGCCTGCCGTGTTCCAGTACCTTGCTCTCTGGTCAGGTGACAGGGTCTGCAGGAGCAGAACACCTGTATGGAAGAGTGTGACCTGGCTTCCTCATTCTTGCTGCTGAGCTGGCTCCCCTTGAGCCCTAGGCTTGTGGCTGGAGGCTCCTGGGAGCCAGTTCCCACCAGGTGTCACCTTGTTGAGGACCTGCCTAGCCTGCTTCCCTGCCTGCAGGCTGGCTGGGCCTGGACCTGTCTTGAGAGCACTACCTTTGTGGCTAATCCATAGCCCGCCCTTGGCCACTTGCTGCCCCGGCCCAGCTCTGTGCCGACCTGTTCCGGATTCATGGGACCCAGGGTACAGCTTAAGCCTGCTGGGGTCATATTTGTGACTATGGGATGTCAGCTGTCAGTCTGGAAGGGCACTAAGAGCCAAGCCTGAGCCCAGCCTTGCCACCTACACAGTAACCTTGGGCAGTCATTGAAACTTCCCAGGCCTCTATTACCTTGTTGAAAAATGGGCTTATTGTCAGTTATTCGGCAGAACTCCTGGAAAGAGTAAAGAGACTGGGGAAATGAGTTTCCTTCTTGTCTTGTCTTTGGGAACAGGCAGGGTTCCTTTTGTGAGATCCCAGCTCTGGTCTCAGCACGAGTCTGGCTAGGAAGAACCTTCCTTCCTAACCACCTCCTAAGCTTTAAGCCATTGCCAGCCAATTCCTGGGGGTAGGGGGCAGTGCACAGCTTCTCAGGTGTGCAGCCCCGGTGTCTCAGCACCTGCCCACTGCTCAGGTGGCCCACAGTATCACAGATGAGGAAGAGGCCTTGGGAAGAGCACACAGCCTTTCATCCCACCCTGTTCCCCCAAGGTCACAGGGCCACATTTTGGTGTGCTCCTAGGTGCTGGGGATGCACCAGGGCCAAAGGGTACCAGGCTGGGCCTTGAGGCTCTTAGCTTGCACTGAAAAGGAGTCATGAGAGGCCTGACCAGTATACAAAATTACTTGGCGTTGTGTGGCTAAACTGGAAAAACCAGCAGCTACTTTAGCAAAGGCTGAACCATTTCTGTTGGAGGAGGAAACTCAGCAGGTGACCGTGGGAAGGTGCATGGTGAGGACACAGAGTGCAAGGTCTCACCTTGGACAGGCCTGCAGCTGCTCCTGGACTAATGGGAGGTGGGAAGGCTTCAAGATGCATCCTGAGCAGGCCTGGCCTGGGAACATGCGGCCAAGCCAGGTGTATGGGATCAGGAGACAGAGGCTGCCCCCATCCTCCCCGGGTTTGCTGGCATTTTGCCCTCTGTAATCCAGACCAAGGTCTATGAAGGACCAGAGCATACAGCAGGGATTCTTAGCCAGGGTTTGCGGAGGTCTGTCCCACCTTGGGCCATGTCCAGAAGCATATCTAATTGTCACAGATCAGAGTACTAGTGGTATCCAGTGGGTAGAGCCCAAGGAAATTGTTAACATCCTGCATGCCCAGCATGGCTCCCACAGCAAAGCTGAGCAACTCTGGGCTAGGGAAGAGGCAGGAACACTTGGACAGAGGTGTACAGTGAAGCTGGCTCAGCTCTGTCCTATCATACGCCCCCATCCTATTGCATGACCAATCCTAAAGATTGGTCACTGAGGACTTCACATCCCAGCATCAGGACAGCTTGGGAGTCAGGATGAGTGTCGAACCTACACGTGGCACAAGAAAAACAGGACCCATAGAGAGAGGGGAGGCCACCTCTGCCCCACAGTCCTGCCTCCCACTTGAGTCTCTGTGGTCTTCTGTGTGCGCACTCCTGACCTGGCCTCACCAGAGGCTCAGGCTGGTCAGGATGTGTCTTGGGGACTCCTCAACCTGCTTCAGTCTAGGAAATGCTGTCAGATAGTGGGCAGCTGAACACCTGCCTGCAGGCCTTGGGATGGGGAAATGTAGGCAAGTCTCTTTCCTTCCCTGAGCCCCCACCTGCTAAGCACACGGACAGTTCTGGGGTCCCTGAAGAGTCTATGTCTTCCCAAATGTTTTCTGTTTCCATGTATCAGTCCCCCACCACATGGTTGTACTCACAGTTCAGGTCCCCCACTCTCATGGGACACCCCTTCACTCCCATTCAGTGGCCATCTCCTGGGACACTCTGTGTGGCTACTCCATCTACATGGCAGTCCTGGAGCACAGGAGGGCAGGCCTATTTCACAGATGAGAAAACCAAGGCACAGAGAGGCCTGATTGGCAACTATTTGACACTAGGACTGAGCAGTATTTGGCCAGAGTTTGCAAATGCCCAGATCTACCTGCTCCAGTCTTAGTTGACCTCAGGGGAGAGTCATGGTTTTGTGACTCAAGTGGGCCCAGAATGGGTTCAGGGCAGGCTGTGGTAGTCCACCCAGCTGTGGTGCCATGTGCATTTGGTGTGGAAGCTGCCTTTTAAGAGCAGATGAGGAGCTGCCTGGCCACCTCCACCCACCCTACCCTACTCTGACCTCCTGAAGTGTCAAGAGTGCCCAAGGAGTTGCCCTGGCACCCACTTGGGGCATCCTTGTGTCCCCTGCCCATCTGCTCATTCTCTGCTGGGGGTATTCCAGGACCTGAGAGACAATGAGGCTTTGTAGATGCCCCACCTCTGCTCAGACACCTGAGACGTTACCTCATCTGGCCAGGCCTATGGGGTGGGGCCACCCAGAAACAGGCCAGGAACAGCCCATGAGGCAGGAAGTAGCCGGGGAGAGGGCTGCTGCAAGCCCCCACCTGCTGCCAAGCCCCAGCAATAGTGAGATTCAAGATTGGGGCAGACCTCGGTGTGCAGACAGCGAGTCAAAAACCGGGAGTACTGGAGGCTTTGCGTCACACACCAGGCCAGCAGCACGACTGTGGGCTGCTTGTCGTGTGCTACTGAGTCACTCTGAGATGTAAGCGTTGGCTCCCTCAACGCTTCACTGGACAGAGCTGGGGTGAGGTGTGGAGGCTGGTGGCTGAGGCGTGTGGTCGCAGCAGTGTTGGGCTGGAAGCCACAGGATGCTGTGGAGCTGGCTGCGGTTTGCCACAGATGATGGGGGAGGCCTCCTAGATCTTTGTTCTGACCTCTGATCCCCAAGCGTGTTCCATGTTGGGTACAAAGTCACAGGTGTTAATTGTCCTGGGCCATGGCCAGCTTCCTGTTGAACTGGCTGCACGTGGACAGGCATCGCACGGGTTGGGGGGCCAGGGAGAGCCACCGGGCAGCAGAGCCTATCTGCCTTCTAGGCTGGGCACAACGGCAAGGTGACTACTCATCCCACAGCTGGGTGGGCATCACGTGGGGACTCCTGGGAGCCCATCCCTATCAGGTCCTCAGACACTGCCCTGGGGCCACCCTCGCCAGAAGGGTGGGGGAAACTGGGGTGCAGTGGACACCTTCTCTCCCAGGTCTCCCTCTGCCTCAGTCCCTGTTCCCCGCACTCGTTTCATACATCCTCCCCTGAACAGCCAGAACTGTCCCTGATGTGCAGATCCTCCTCAGCACCCTCCGTTCCCATCTTCCATGGCTCCTGACTTCCCAGTCAAGCCCAGGCACTTAAGCAGGTATAGGGTCTTTCGTCAGCTTCCGGCTCAGCCCGCTCAGCAGGCTCCTGCACCCGCCACACCTCCTGAGGCACTCTCCACTCTTATAAAGCCTGCCCCTCGTTCCAGCTTTGCATCTCTGCCTGGGAGCTTTGCTGTCCTCCCCTGACCCACGTCATCCCTTCCCGGGAGTCCTCCTGGCCATGCCGGGGGCGTGTTTCCTCTGCAGTCCTGGCCATTCTTGAAGGCTTGCCTCCTCTCACCTCCACAAGATACTGCCACCATCACACTGTGTTGGCTGCCAGTGGCCTCGGCACGTGTGGGTGAACAAGTGAACATGTGGGCAGTTAATGAGCTGGGGCCAGTGAGTGGGTGAGGGGACAATAGGTAAGTCACAGCCCTGCCTGACAAAGAATGTGTCACTGCCGAGTGCCCGAAGGTGTCACACAGCTACTAGGAGGGAGGGAGACTGCTGTCGGAGGAGGTATGTCAGCAGACGAGGCAGGATGCTCTTAAGGGGGTTTCCCATCCTGGGTGGTATCAGAATCTCTGGGGTTTGAGTTAAAACTGAAACTTCCAGTTTGACCTCACACTTCCTAAATCAGACTCTCTGAGGGGTCTAGGAGCCCTGGTGCAGTTTGGACTACATGAGCCCCTGCCCAACTGAGGTTCCGCTTTGGGAGCCCTGGTTGCTCCTCCAGGCCTGGCTTTCAGCCTGCCTTTAGGTGTGCCGTGTGCCTGCACTGGCTCACAAGGAGAAGTGGCTCAATCCAGGCCCTCAGCCACGGCCAGAGATGCCACACTGGGGAGAGAGGTCCCTGACGCCAGGCCTAGGGAAAGGCCAACACTTGTACCTGCTCTGACCTCTTTCATAGTGCCCCTGTCTGGGTCTCCATCCCCTTCCCTGGTCTCTGAGGGCTTTTCCACCTGCTTCTGAGCTGTGTGAGGAATCAAACCTCACTGACCATTTACCAAAACTATCCTGGAGGCCAGGCAGTGTCCTGGCCTTGGGGAAGCAGGGAAGCTTGTTTTGAGTCCTGCCTGGAGGGAGCAGAGCCAGCAGGGATAAGGAGAAAGAGAAGAGGCCGGTCTGGGCAGTTATCTAGAAGGTTGACCTGCATGGTTGTCATGAGAGCAGGACCCAGATTGCTTAGGACGGGTCCTCTTCCTGTCGCTCACCACTTTCTTGTCTGTCCTGGTCACACAGTTCTCACTGTTCATGGAACCAATATAAAAATCTCCCTTCCCCTCAACATCTGATGGAACCAGGCTGAGGCTGAGGCAGGAGATTCTGGAGTTAGAGATCAGCGTGTGCACCATAGTGAGACCCTGACTCAACAAACAACCAACCCCGTGCCACCGTCCACCTGCTGTAGCAGCGTTTCCCAAACTGGTCACACAGGTCTAGTCCTCCTTAGTGCTATTCTGCAGACATCCTTTGGACCACAGCTGAGTCCTTCCTGGCCCAGTCTCTTCATCACCAGTGTCAGGTCCCTGCATGGCCCCCTTGGATCCTGGAGTTTCAGGGACCCACAGCCTCTGGGCAGGCCTCACAACCCCTTCCTCATCCTCCAATACCCTCCCCTTCCCCAGCGGTTTGCTGCTTTCACTCTGTCCCCCGTAACTGATGCTGTCATTGTCTAATTTGGCCTGCCTGTTCCCCAATACAGAATCTCAGGGTGCGCAGCAGTGGAGGAACTGAGTTCTTCACCCGGTCGGCCACCAAGTTCAAGGGTGCCCTGGCCCAGAAGTTTATGTTTGTGGATGGAGACCGAGCAGTGTGTGGCTCCTACAGGTGATTCTTTGTGGGGGTTCGGGGGAGTGGTGCCCCAGTTCCCATCTGGTTTCTGCCTTTAATCCTGATGTTTTTTATACCGTGGCTGTTCCATTTTATTGATCCCCAAGCTGCAAGTGTGTGTGGAACTGGGCATGCCTGCCTGCCTGCTGTCTGTGGAGCAGGCAGGGTGACTGTCATTCCAGACCCCAGAGGTGGGGTGGGGCCAGGTCAGGATGCTCCTTCCCAAGCAGGCAGAGTGGTCATTCACAGCCATCTTCAAGGACAGAGCCAGCTCTGCAAGAACCTTCACACAGGCGTCCTGAAGTCACTCCAAGGGTTAGTGGTGGCAGAAAGCTTTGTGATGGCACCGGCCTCTGGGTGCTAGATTGAGATTTCCATCTGCCTGTGAATCCAGTGGCAGTGGCAGTGGCTCCGTGTGACTGAGTGACTTTCTGGGCTCCCAGACTCAGGTCTGATCCCACTGCTTTGCCTGTGCTCTGCCATCACCAGCCTGCATCTTGATTCCAGGCTTTTGGTCACAGTTTGATGGATACCAGCCTAGGGTGTGTGGTGGGCTCGCTAGATGCCTGCTGCAGTAGGGGGAGGGGAAGACAGGCATAAGGGACTTGGGCCCAAGTGAGGTAGCAGGCCCTGTGTGTGTGACTGCCACCTTGCCTCTGTATTGCAGCTTTACGTGGTCGGCTGCAAGGACGGACCGGAATGTGATCTCCGTGCTGTCCGGCCAAGTGGTGGAGATGTTCGACCGGCAGTTCCAGGAGCTATACCTCATGTCACAGTGTGTCAGCCTCAAGGACATCCCCATGGAGAAGGAGCCAGAGCCAGAGCCTGTTGTGCTACCTGCTGTGGTCCCCCTGGTACCTGCAGGCTCTGTGGCTAAGAAGCTTGTCAATCCCAAATATGCACTGGTCAAGGCCAAGAGTGTTGACGAGATTGCCAAGACCTCTTCCTCTGAGCAGCAGGAGATCAAGAGGCCTCCAGGGCTGCAGGGACCTGCACTGGCTGAGCAGCCGGGTGACCTCCCTGAGTTGCCACTGCCTGTCCACCCAGGACTGCTCAACTTGGAGAGGGCCAACATGTTCGACTACCTGCCCACATGGGTGGAGCCAGACCCAGAGCCTGGCAGTGATATCCTGGGCTACATCAACATCATTGACCCCAACATTTGGAACCCCCAGCCCAGCCAGATGAACCGCATCAAGATCCGTGACACATCCCATGCCAGCACTCAGCACCAGCTGTGGAAGCAGAGCCAGGAGGCCCGCCCCTCCCCAGGGCCCAGCAGCCTCCAGGACAGGCTCCCAGCTGAGAACGGCCTTCCGCAAGGGGACTGTGAGCCGCAGCCTCCAGTGCCTAAGCCCCGGACAGTACCCGTGGCAGATCTACTAGCCCAGAATGGCAAGGATGGTGATCTACTTGTGCAGGACGGTGCTGACTGGCCCCTGGAGGAAACAACGCCAAATGGGACAGACTGTGGGGTGTCCAGGACAGTGGAGTCGGACCACCCCCTGCTTCAGCGGCAGCTGTCTGTGACCCAGGATGACCCCGATGGCCTAGGGGCAGGGCTCCCCAATGGGCTGGATGGGGAGGAGGAGGAGGAAGATGACGATGACTACGTGACCCTCAGTGATCAGGACAGTCTGTCAGGCAGCTCCAGCTGTGGCCCTGGTCCTCGACGGCCCTCAGTAGCCTCTTCCATATCAGATGAATATTTTGAGGTGAGGGAGCGCTCAGTCCCTCTCCGGAGGCGCCACTCAGAGCAGATGACCAATGGGCCAGCCCAACTACCCCGCCGACAGATGAGTGCCCCCCACGTAACCCGAGGGACCTTTGGTGGGCCCCAGAGTGGCTCCCCCTGGGCAGAAGGTCGGGTGAAAGAAGAGTCAGATGCATCGAGGAGGATGCAGGCCCAGCGCTCTGGGGACAAGGAGACACAGGTGGGTCAGGTCCCTCGCACCAGGCGTCATGCGGATCCCTCAGTTCAAATGCCCGAGAGTCCAGAGTTGCCACTACACTCCCCTGCCATCAGTCAAAGGGGTGACTGCTGAACAGGGATGGGTAGGAACCAGCTGGAGCCTCATAGCAGGCCATTATCACACTGGGGACTCAAAGAGCGGAAGGAAATACACATTTCTAAAGCCAGAGGTCCCAAGCATTTGCAGTTACAGGATTTGATGCTGCCTACCATGTGGCAGGCCTAGTTTGCAGACAGACAGGGGAATGGCTGGGCTCAAAGATATTCCTTTACACAAGTTTCTTCTTATGAACCTTATGCCAAGCCACCTCAGTGCTGATCCCTCTGTGGCTCTGAGGAAGACCCCCGCAACCCCATGGCAGCTAACAGTTTATGTCCTGCTTTTGCTTCAGCTAGTGGTCTTTGTAGGACAAGGCCTCGGAATATAAACAACCTGCACCCCACCACAGCACCCAGATCCTGTCCTACCTGGAAATAGTGCGCGGCTGATCATGCCTGGCATAATCATCAGACCCATGGGCAGCATCTTGAGGTAGCTGGCGAGGATAGAGCCTGCCTTGGCATGGTTCAGGTTCCGGGCTGACAGTGACCGCTGCACGATGACCTGCAGGCAGAGCGAGAGAGGGAGTAGGTCCCAGCCCTTCTGGATACCTGGGCAGGATTTCTCTGTGAGCCTTAGGGGGTGGTTTGAGACAGGACATGGTCTCGTTAGCTAACCTAGACAATTATAGGACCCTGACACGATGGCAACCCCTGAAGAAGAGTTTCCCCCAGCTGGCAAGCACGTTTGTTCCAGGAACTCAGTCTGCCCATTGGCCCAACAGAGGAAGCCTGGGTCCTGCCCAGCCTACTGCCCGTAGCAGTTGTTAGGGACGGAAGAGTCTCTAGGTTGGACGGCATCAAGGGCACCATTTTCCACCCTCACCTCCTGGACCCTCATGAGATGGGAGGTACATTCAGGCAGGTGCCAGGAGGAGACATTGGTACCAACTGTGTGGAGTCACAGGTGGGAAGTTGGGAGTTTTCAGGCCCAGGACTTGGGAGCTTGCAGCTCAGTAGAGGAGGAACATCCAAGATTCTTAAGGACATTGAGGTCTCTGGGGACTTCAGGCAAATCATAAAGGCCTCAATTTCTAGATCTGTAGAATGGGAGGGCATGTAATTTAGACTATGATGTCTGAGATCCTTCCCAGCTCTGATATTATGATTCTCCTTTTTTCTTTAATGGAAAAAAAGTAAAGCAAAATTTCCTAACAAAATAATAGGAGAATAATAATAGTTAATACATTACATGTTGTTATCTTTAAAGTAGCTGTTCCGGGCAAAAAAATTTCTCCAGTTGATATTAGCACAAACCTTTTTAATGATCTAAGAGACACCAACAGTATAACGACTTGCATTTCCCCCTTCTCTACTGTCCTTTTCCCTTTCACCCATCGTAGTCCTAGTTCCTTTTTCCTTTTGAACAGTTTTTTCCCATTTCACAATACATGGTTTGCTTTAAAAAAAAAAAAAAAGTGGCTTGGGAGTATAGCTCAAAGATTGAACATTTGGGCCCTGGATTTGATTCCCAGATGCACAAACCCAAAACAACCCAATTATAACTCTTTGGACAGCCTATGTTTTCCCCTTTAAAGGCAGTTACTCTTAATTTATTTGTAATGTGTGCTCAGTCTTACCATTTAGACCTCTGAAATGTATTCTTCTTTTGCTGTTCCACAGTTTAAATCACTACCTGCAGCTCCAGAGTGGGAATTGGTGTGATTCTAGCTCTTTTCCAAGCATGCTAGCTTGACAGGTTGCTCCCAGCGCTGACTCCTTGGGAGAAGCTCTCCTGGGACACTGATTACAGATGAAAAGCTGGCAGAGGTGCAGCCCTGGGGACACAAGGCAGCTGATTGCTGTCCTCCTCCACCAGCTTTTTGGGACTTGGGAGAAGTCATTACCTTACTCTGAGCCTCAGTTTCTCCATCTAGACAGGAGGATACTTGGAGGAAGTTTGTCTAATCTTTTGTGCTGTCCTGCCTTGTGGCTGCAAGAACCTTGGGCCTCAGCCACCATGGAAAGGGGCCATTTCCTTAAAGCCCTGCACATCCGTCATCTCTGTGGATGGGTATTTGGCCTTCCTTATTTCATCGAATGCTCACAGCTTTCAGGGGCAGGTACTGCACTCCAGGGAAGAAGCTGAGACCAACCGGCAGGGCAGTGGTCCCTGTCTGGCACAGGGCTGGGACCCTTTCCTTGGTGTCCAGCATTTCTCCCCGGGAGGCACAGTCCCAGCTTGGTCCTCCCTCCTGAAGGGGCTGGTGCCTCAGCCCCAAATTTAGCCATTTTATCTCACTGAACTTGTGTTCCATCTGCAAAATAGTGACTGTCGAAAGCCCAAGGAATGCTGAAAGGACTGAGGCTGCTGGCCGAGAGGCCTAGCCTATCCCTGACTTGCCCAGGGCTTTGTTCAGTTCTCAGTGAATCTCAGGCTTCCCTTGGAGTGTGACTGCCAGTCAGCCCCAGCTGACTGCAAAGGGTCGTGGTTACTGCTAGGACTGAGCGGATAGCCCTAGCCTGGAGGAAAATGCTCCATCTTACACCATAGTTTCTGCAGGGGACAAGGGACACAAGAGACCTGAGAGCCTCCAGAGATGGCAGGACCTGGGGAGGTGATCCTGTCAGTACACTGCCTTGTTTTACAGATAGAACATTCATTGATCCTGGCTAGGGAGGGGGGGATCATGGCAGAGCTGAGGTGGGAACCAGGCCAGAGCTGTGTGTGCTGATCCTCCACTTCATTTGCTGCTAGTTTTTGTTTTGAATTTTTTTTTTTTTTTTGTCTTTTTGAGATGTTTCACTATGCAGTTTAGGCTGGCCTTAAACTCACTTGCAGCCCAGGCTGGCCTTTAACTCACAGTGACCCTCCTGTCTCAGCCTCCCAAGTGCTGGGATTACAAGTGTGCACTACCACATCCAGCTGTTTTGGGGTCTGTCACTTACTGTTCATGAGCCCGAAGATAATGAAAAGTACAAAGAGCCACACAAAAATTGCCCTTGATCCAGCATCCTGAATAGAGTGGAGTCAGGCTGCCAGGTGTCCTGAAAGTCCCTGGGTGCTAGTAAGAGCCACTCAGAGACTAGGGAAGCTTGATGAGGACCAGCACTACCAGGGGTGCTTGGTTGGGAGCTGGACCACGGGACCATATGCTCTCAGCTGAGTCAGTGAGAGGGAGGAGGACAGGAGGCAAGGCCAAGGCCATGTGGTCACCCCTGAATGCTGGCTGGTGTGCTGATGACCTGGGGCCAGCAGGGTCCCGCTCTGCCTCCTGAGTGGCCCTCTGTGGGCTCCGGTACCTTACCTGTGCAGTAAAGCCTGTGTAGTCCTGACCTAAGGCCAGGCTTTCTGCTGACTCACTGGCCTTCATGGGAGAATCTCCTGAATAGTGTCCCACCCAGACGCCTGGGCCATGCCAGACTTTGCTTTGTGGGAAGAAACAGGAAGTGGCTGGGTTGAAGGGGCTCAGCCCAGTGGGATGCCCTCCACTGCCACCTTTCAACGCCCTGGGCTGGCCCGCAACCCTCCTGGAACCATGCTGGGAGCAACCTGCTCCTGGAAAGCTCAGGTGGGAGGCATAGCCCAGTGGAAGAATCTAGGGGATGCCAGGTGGAGAGAAGCCCTGCTTGGGGGGAACATGTTACATATGGGGAAACTGAGGCTTTGTCTCCCAGAGCATCTAACACCTCCCTGCTTAGACCACTTGCCACTCTGGGAACCCTGGGAGCGTCTTTGGGTATACATTGACAAAACCAGGAAAGCCACTTTCCCCTGGTGCACACCTGGCTGTCTCTGGGCCTGTGTCCCAGTCGGTGAATGTGGCTGGCCTGGCTCACAGGGGAGGTGCTGAGGCCCTGAGCACCCTCTCACTAGTCTCAGTGGCCATCTGTGGTCTGCTGGCCTGGCTGCCTTATCCCCTGGAGAGAGCTCCCCTGGGGCTGGCCTGGAGGCATGGATGGGAAGGACTGAGCCACCTTCCGCAGAGGAAAGCGCTGCCTCCAGTGACCCTCTCAATCTTTTTCTTTTTTAAATCTTCTAACCACATCCAGCCTGTACTATCCAGACAGAGGAAGCAGTGGGGGCACTGAGGAAAGGTGGTAGGAGTCTGCTTTATTGTAACCACAAAGGCCAGGATGACTTCATGTGACAAATGAGGAAATTGAGACACAAAGTGATTAAATGAGCCAGTAGGTAAATGCATGCTTAGGAGAGTCCTCACAAGGAGTGACCTCCCTGTCCAGCCCTCTCAAACTGCTCACACTCTGTTCTCTTTCTCCCAGGGCCAGCAGTTCCACCGCTATGGGGGTCCTTCGAGGACCCCAGGACCACCTCGCTACCGCCCTGCTGCTGATGGTACCCACACCTCTCCAAGGAAAGCCAGCCTGGCCGTGGGAGGCCCCTACCCCTGGAAGCCCAAGGCTGGCCCCTTACCCTGTGTACTGCCCAATCCTGGGAGCCCAAGGCCAGCACGAAATGCCCACATTCTGGCTGATGGCAGGGCTACTGAAGAGCATCCAAGTCCCTTTGGAATCCCGTACTCCAAACTGTCCCAGTCAAAGCACCTGAAGGCCAAGTCAGGTGGCAGCCACTGGGCCTCATCTGATTCTAAGCGGAGGGCCCAGGCCTCCCAGGACCAAAAGAACCCCTAGGAGCCTGGCTTGGGCTGGACCCACCAGAGTCTGCTCTGGAGGAGAGGTGGGGGGGGGGAGGCAGCCAATGCTGACACTTACCTGGTCGGTGCACCAGTACCAGGTAGCCATGATGGTTAGGCCGAAGGTCATTCCAGTCCATGGGAGGTCCCCAGTATTGGCGTCCCGAAACATGTGCATGGCATCTGCACGTGGCAGGTGGCAGGTGGTGTTGGCAATGGTCTTGGAGGGAATGGCCCGGGCATATACTGCTTCTAGCTGTCCATAACCACCAATCTGGTCAAAAGCTGGAGGGGAACAAGTGAGACAGGGACCACTTGGTGGCTGGTGGCCTCCAGCTCTTGTTGCCTTCATCTTGCAAGTAACTTTATAAAACATCAAACTGGAGTTTTTCCCCCCCTGCCTTTCCTGGTATTTGGAAAAGTATGGTGAGTAGGAGGTTTGGAAACCAAGGTGAATTTAAAGTAACTATTTTATTTGTATTTAAATAATACTATTAAATGAGCATTTTGCACATGGGTACCACGGTATCCTGTAGGCCGGGTAAGAATCACTGCTGGTCTCCAGATGCCTGTTAGCCTCAGGTAAGGTGTTCTCTGGCACTCAAGGAAGCAAAAATAGTTTTTCTTGGCATCCTGAGGATCTCCCTGAGGCATGTGAAGTGTTAAAGTCCTGCCCCGGGGCTTACAAGGGTGTAATTTCACTAAAGGTAAGAATGGCTGGTGGTGACTTGGCTTCTTCCAGGCCTCGAACAGCCTATTGGGCAGGTGTGTGTATGTGTGTGGGGGGCCTACAGCTAGGGTCTTTCCTCCTGAGTCCAGAGCACATTTGTTCTCTCACTACTCCTGTCTACCTCAGGGTCAGGGCTCTGCATGGCCAGGCTCTGGCCTGACTATGGCCTTGCTGTGTGTGTGGTCACTCTCCTATCCAGACTGCGCCTGGATGTCTGGTCCCTTATCTGAGAGAGGAAGCCTGGGCATAGGAAAACCCACCTCTGCCCCAGGCCCTGCTGACCAGCAGGACGTAGAAGAGGGATCACAGTCCAGGATCTGTGTTTGGACCAGGCATCTCTGAAGCTCAGAGCAAATGGACAAATGCTACACCAGGGTTGGCGACTGCTCGGCCACACATTCTCAGACCCTGAGTCTGGAAGTCTTTAAAGGCTTCTGTTTACCCTCTGTGTTTACCCTCCCAGCTCAGCTCGCCTACTTCCAGGGATGGGGAACTCACTACCTCCTGAAACTACCCTATAAGCTTTTGTGTTTGTTCAGACTAGTTTTGCCAATTTGTCTAAACTGTCCTTCCCAGCCTTTGTCTACCAGGAGGCAGCATCACCTCTTAGGAGTCTGTACATGATTTTAAACAATTGGAGGCAACACCCAAGCAGTTCTGTGGGCTAATTGTGTGTCTCCACACCTACTTGTCAAGCCCCAAGCCAGGGCGGGCATGGCCAGCTCTGTGCTCCTGAGTCAGCTCCTCAGCTGGTGACAGCTGAGCAGTGAGGGCAGACAGGAGGCAGGCAGACAGTGGCCATCTGCCAGGGGGCAGTAGGGGAGGACTGCCTCGTGGCTTGACCTCATGAGCCCCACAGGTGCTGGAACAGCCCCACCCCACTGTGGCCTGAAGCTCCAGTCCTCACCTTTGATGGCCAGGATGACAGCCCCCACCACCATGATGACTGTCTGCAGGGCATCCGTGTAGATCACAGTGGCCAGGCCCCCTGCAAAGGAACAAGGTAGCTGGAGGGAGTCCCCTGGCTTTGAGGGAGGTGGGACAAACTGAGAAGCACCACTCATATCCGAGCCCAGGGCTTCCTGGAGCTTGTGGGAGGAAATGGCCCTCCACCTCCTACATAGGTACCCTGGTCTGCTCCAAGCCGCAGGGTGACGGGCAGCCCTCCCCGTGATGGTGCATACCTGCGATTGTGTACAGAGCTGTGATGAGGAGTGTGAGGATGGTGGAGAGGTAGAAGTTCCATCCCAGGCAGATATGCACAAAGAGTGCCCCGGCGTACAGGTCAATCTAGGGAGGGCATGTTCAAACAGAGATTGGAGTTTACTGTGAGTCCCAGGGCTCAGAGCCCAGATGCTGCTACTGACTGGCTGTGGCCCCTGTGGGCCTGGGTGCCCCATGGATGAGCAAAGGTGACCTTTGCCTGCCTGCCTACCCATTTCTGGGGGTGGGAGGATGAACTCACTGTGGACTGCTATGCGCTATGTACAGGGGACATTACTGTCATTAATAAAGTTCAGAATGGTCATTTCCCACCCATGTGTTGTTACTGAATTTGGCCTCTAACTAGGGGGCCTGTTCTGTTGGTTACCAGGGGGATCTTGCTGTGTGTGGTCACTCTCCTTCTACCCAGACTGCGCCTGGATGTCTGAGAGAGGAAGCCTGGGCATAGGAAAACCCACCTCTGCCCCAGGCCTTGCTGACCAGCAGGATATAGAAGAGGGATCCCAGTCCAGGATCTGTGTTTGGACCAGGCATCTCTGAAGCTCAGAGCAAATGGACAAATGCTACACCGGGGTTGGAGACTGCTCAGCTACACATCCTCAGACCCTGAGTCTGGAAGTGTGTAAAGGCTTCTGTTCACCCTCTGTGTTTACCTTCCCAGCTCAGCTCACCTACTTTCAGGGATTCCAAAGGGATTCATGAGGGAGGCTCAGGGTGATTAGCAGTTCCCAGGAAAAAGGTGCCATGGGTAGGATGGGAGAGTCTGAGGTAGTTTTGCCTCCTGTTCCCAGAAGGGTTGGACCTGAAGGCACCAGCACTCAGGCACACACCACAGGCTGAGGCTGGTTCCAGGGCTGGACTGGATACGCCCTGTTGCCCAGATTCTGGAACTGCTTATGGGGCAGAAGTTCTAACTGGGGCGAGGCAGCCTCAGCATGGAAAGGGCCTTATGGACCATAATCCTACCCTGCGATTGGCAGTTGGGCCCAGAGACAGGGCACAAAGGTAAGGCCTGTCCTATGTGACCTGGGGCTGGATGATGGGCTCCCCACCACACCCCTTTCTGAACCTGTTAAACTGGTGGCTCAGCAGAGGGGAGATGACCCAAAATCTGGGACCAATGCTTCCGAAGAAAGGTTAGCTAAGCCCATGGGTGTGTGGGATAAGTTTGCTCTGGGCCTGGCCTTCTTGGGGCCTAGGAGACACAGAAGCAAGGCTTTTGAGCTCTCCCAGGACCCAGTCCAAGTTGCAGCAGCCAACTTCCTGGAACCAGGCTTTGGAGACAGCCCTGGTGAGGAGCAGCATGAGCTCTAAGCTGCTGCTGGTGGTCTCTACATTTCTCCCTCTCGTATCACTCCTACCCTTGGAGAGACCAGACCATGTGTTTTCAGGAGAATACCTGCCCTATCACCGAAGTCCCTGCTTCAGTAGTGTGGCGCTGGGAGTGAAGTGACTCAGGGAGAGATGAGAGGGATCGGCCTCCAGACGGTGCTGAGAAGCCCAGAGATGCTGAATATTAGAGGAAAAACTCTTCGAGGTCCCGCCCCATAGGACTGAAGGAGAAAATGAGGCCCAGGGAGGAGGTAGGACTTCTCGAGGTCTAGCAGGCCCCTCTCTGCTAGGTATCATCTGAGTTGCTGGCTGAGACAAGGGGGGCAGTGAGGGATTTTTCTAGAAAGCCTGCTGTACCGGTTTCCCCCACTGCTGCTCAGGACTGCTGGACTCCGCCCTGGCCTGTGCATCTGAGCTCCACAGCTCAGCAGCCTTCACCCCCTGCCTTGCCCTTTGCTGCCTCCAGGCCTTTGTTCATCAGCATCCTCTGCCCTTACCGTCCCAGCCTCTGCCTCTCACCCTCCACACACGGCCATCCCCGCTTCCTGACCACTGTCTCAGGGATAGTTAGTCTTCCCTCTCTTCTATTTGTGGTGGCAGGCTTCTAACAGCACAGGGCAAGCATCAGGGTGAGACCTTAGCTGTGTCTTCTCTGTAGGATCCTACATGATGTCAACAGGTGCTGCAAAGAAGCAATTCCTTGTACCCCAAAGGAGTCCCCAGTGCAGACATCCCCTGGTCCTGTCTGACCCTCCTGTAGCTTAAGCTTTTTCCTGAGGACCCAGGCAAGTTTTAGCCTCATAGAAGCTGGCAGTTGCACAAACCTGAGTTTGTGTCCCTGGCCTGCGGTGTCCTAGCCATGTCCCTTTGTGAGCAGGTCATTTCACTTTCTGAGTGTTACTTGTGAAATGGGCAAAGTAATGTGGAGCAAGCACAGCTGTTTCTGTTAGTCTGGCTGGAGCACGGGGCTCCTCACCTCCGCAGCTCTCTTCACCTGCCTCCTGCCTGGCAAGAGAGGCTCAGGGGAGGTCAGGTGACTTCAGAGGGGTCCTAAGAGCAGCTGCAGTCTAACATGCTGAAGACACAGTTGGAGTCAGCAAGGTCAAGACAGCAGAGGAACTTGCCCATAGTGGCAAAACCATGGGACATAATTAAAAAAGCGAAACAGCATTGTGCGTGTGCTTCACCAAGGAAGGGTCACTCTCAAGGGCCTAAGGCAAGCCACAGCCTCACTCTAAGCCACTGACCAGTGGGGCCAAGCCACTGATGCACACAGGCTCAGAACTTGCCCCAGCTGCAGGCTGATGCCTAGGGTCCTGTCCGACTGCCTGCTCCTGGGAGTTCATCTCCATCTCAGTCTCCCTCCCTGCTCCTGTCCCCCAGAATGGCTCCCACACTGCCCACATTTGTCTGCTTCCCCTGTCTTGTGCCCACAGCCCCTGCCAGTCTTTCAAGGCCCGAGACATCCCCCAGGAAGCCCTTGCCATTTTGCTGTCTGTGATACACGTTAAATGTTCATGTGTTTAATCTAATGGTTTGAATCATCGAATTTCTCCTAGGATCATGAGCCTTGGACACTGAGAAGGAAATACCTTGCTCAAAGGCCTGCAGTCCTAGAAGGCAGGGTCTGCACCTAGGTCTGTAAGCCCTCCAGAAAGAGCCTTGGGCCAAGGTTGCACAAGGGAGCACAGTGTGGGGAGAAGGCAGCTCTGCTCCTTGTACCAGTTGGCCACCAGCAGGGATGTGTGGGGGCTGCAGCCCAGTACAGCAAGGAGCCTGGTTCTGCACAGCAGGCTGGGGCTGACCCACCGGCTTGCACAGCTTGGAACCTTAGCTTTCATGTTTGGAAGGAGTCTCATCTCATCTCTGTCACTGGAAACAGGAGTCTGGGGTGCTCCTGCCACACCTGTCCTGCCCCATCTGGCCACCCTCCTCCCTTGAACTCCTTCTTTTCCTCTTAGGGTGGTGAAGAACCTGGAGGGAACCCTGCACTGACATTTAACACAAATCACTGTGTGATCTGCCTCCTAAATTGTCTTCCATGTTCTCTGCCCCAGGGCCCTGTCCACTTCTGTCCCCCAGGGGCTCAGAACAGAAACTTCCTGTCTTTTAACATTACTCTCTTCATTTGACCCGGATACTGCTGTGGCTCCTCTTGCCAAACTGTGTCTGCTTTCTCTGTAGCCCTCACTGGTCCTTCTGCCACCAGGCTCCTTTAGAGGAGACTCGGAGGGGCTTGGGCTGGTGTGGGAAATAAAGTCCAGCAGCCCTGTTCCCGCCTAGCCCATAGGCTCCACCTAACCCAGAAGCCACCCCTAGCCTGGATTCTGAGTCAGGTGGGAAGGAAGGCTCTGCCCCTCGCTGTGGACGCCTGCCCAGCCCTTACCTGCCCATCATCATCTAACAAGCTGCCCAGCGCAGCAGCTTCCCAGGCTTGGCGGACTTGCAGTCATTCCTGTCTTAGACACTGCAGCAGCAACGCCAGCGTGTCCAGTGCCAGCTGGTGCACTTTACATCGAGCTGCCCTCTGTGGGCTCTGCCAGGTTCTCTGTTTGCTTTTGGGATCATGTTTTACTCTTGGTGGTGATTGGACCAGTCTATTTACATATCACATCTGTCTGGAAATTGCACACGGGGTCCTTGGGAGGCCTGCCCAGAGCCAGACACACAGTAAGTGCACAACAAGTAGGCGAGTTTTCCCAGAAAAAGTGGCATGCTAGAGCCCCCAGGCCAAATCTAGTCCTCATGATACTGTTGTCCTTGGCTGAGGAAGCTTTGGAGTTGGGACTATATGGTCTCAAAGCTGAAAATATTCACTATCTGTCCCTTCATGGACAAACATGCTGACCACTGGCGAATATTATTGAACTCAGTCCCAGGAGAGGTATCGGGCATGTAGAAGCACTGGGAATACATCAGCAAACAAGGAGAAAAGTGTGGAAAGTAGACTCTAAGTGCCCCTGGCAATTAGCATGAGGGAAGATGCTAAGGGTAGCCAAAAGGGGAGAAGGAAAAGGGCAGGACTGCTGGGGTGGGGACAAAGGAGGATTTCAAAGACTTGAGCGACGTAAGGAAGCCACCTGGGAACTGGAGGAAGAGGGTTCCAGGCAGAGGCCACAGCCAATGCAAAGGCCCCCAGGCAGGAACACTGGTGTGTCAGAAGAACTGCCAGCAGAGCAGAAGAGGGCAGAGAGGCAGCAGGGACCACATGATGGAGGACCTTATGGGTCACAATTGGCTTTTAAGGGACATGGGGTATTGCCTGGTTCCCCGGGTCCCAGGGGCCCAGAACCCTACAGGGATGGAGTTGCACCTTAGTCCGCTTGTTAGAACTCAAGAGGTGACTCCCTGTGCCCTGACCTTCCAGTGCTCTCTGGAGGTTGGTGTCCTGTCTACAAGATGGCGGTGGCAGCCTGTCTGGCAGGCTTCATTTGGGGCAGATCTGGATGTACACTGAACATGCTCCTGAGACTCAGTCCCGTGAGGTCAGAGCCTCTGGGGACAAGTGGGGATCCCACACTTCAAACAGCTCTACTCCAAAACCATTAGCCAGGGCAGCCATGGTCCTTCTCCAGCCAAGCCAGCAATTAAGTGTTCCTTTCGCGTCAGCCTGTACCTCATCCCAACAGCTCTGGCGTTGGATCTGAAGCCTGGCCTTGATGTGACTGGTTGAGCCCCATCTTATAACTGGGCACTCTGAATCACTTCCATCACAAGGTGGAATTGGAAGCACTACATTCTGCCTGCAGAGGGTAGAGACAGTATGTGGGGCCTGGCACCTAGGGTGGGAGACACGGTCCTGACTGAGCTTGGCCTGGTTTTCCACGACCTTGGCAAGGAGCAGTGGCTGACCACGTCTCAGTGTTCAGATCTCTAAAAGGATGTGGGAAGGAGTCGGGTCCTGGCCATCCACCGTGGGAGCTTCCACAGTGCTGATAAGCACCCTAAACCTGCCACCGCCACCACCCCTGATGCTATC